TAATCAAGTCAACACTGTGACTTCCATATTGGTAGTTCCAAAAGCACCGCTCAGAATTCCAAGGCCTCTTCCAAAGGTAGAGACAAAAAGAGATAAGAAGCACTTTTGATTGGTCAGAGCATACAGAGCAAATGATGCGCTTATGTTTCTAAATAGTTGGGGGAATTGAGATCCCAAGTAGAATATACAAGATAGACAGCCACCAATAAAGCCTGACACTTCAGTTATGCCAGCAGTATCCTAAAAGCAGTAACACAGAAGGAAGGACAGTATTAAGAGGCAATATAAGCATACGTTAGGATCTCAGTATTTTAAGGGAAACAGAGTCATTAGAGAAAATGAGAATAGAAATATTTTTCCCTGTGTCCTTGTTATTTTGGAGACCAATAAATATTAAGCATCTCTCTCTAGGATGGGTAATATTCTCTAATTAGGTAGCAAAATCACTTATCTATGTCCTCAGACATGCTAAGTCATTTTGAATAATGGAAATTTAGATTTTTTCTCTAAATAACTTCAGTATAAGTTTGTTTACTTGGTTTCCATCTGGATTTCTGGTTCTGCCCAGTGAAACCCATTCTCTGATCTAAGTATGCAAAATGATCTGCATACAGGAGAGTGACAAGTGGGCAAGTTTACCAGCAGGATAGAACTCCTTCACGGGGTCAGGCCTCCTGGCCACCAGCATCTGTCCAATGTTAAGAGAAGGTGCTTTCTGGATTTCTGTGTATAAGGATCTTACCTGTTGCTGTTATAGTTGAGTGCTGTCGAGTCGATTCTGACTCATAGCAACCCCACATGACAGAGTAGAACTACCCCCATAGAGTTTTCTAGGCTGCAATCTTTATGGCAGCAGATTGCCAGGTCTTTCTCCCACGAAGCCACTGGGTGAGTCCAATCACCAACCTTTCAGTTAGCAGCAGAGCGCTTAACCATTGCACCACCAGGGCTCCCTGGATCTTACCTAGCCCTGGTTAATTCTAGCATACCAAAGTGACTGTGGATCCCAAAGGTTTGAAGTTTTCTTCTTCTCTTCAAACTTTTTGAAGATGTATTCCAGAAAGTTAATAAAAACATTTTCTGAATTAACTTTTAGCACCTCTATAATATTCCTGAAGTGACCAAAAAAAAAAAAGGGATCTAAAGGAAAGAGACTATGGCCCTTCCAGACTGAAGATTCCCTTTTCTGCCTCCGTTAAAGTCTCGTGTTGGTTCTCCATCAATAACAGACTTGGCATTGTTGCTGACAGCATAGTATGCACCAGTAACCAGATCACACATAAGTCCTGCAGGCGTCTGCTCCTTAGCACTTAAAAATAAGCAAACAAGGCCACAAGCTGCTGAGCCAGTATCCAACGGCACACTGAAAGGAATTACTCCCGCTACATACCACTTATCTGGTATTTAATCTGCGGAATACTCAAGTTTCTGGAATGGTTCCACAATAAAAGGTATGGGGGGGCCTTTAGTTAGAATTCAGGGTCACTAAACACATGTAAGAACAGGACGGCTTCAGGTAGCACCTGGTGGACTGTGGCAATTGGCTGCATCCGTGATGGGAAAGGAAAAGGCTGTTTGAATTGTCCAGTCACACATTTACAGGCCCAGTGCACCCACAGTAGTACTGACAGGCCCGGAGCGGGGAGGAGGGACAGCAGCAAGAAAGAGGAACACCACCAGATGGACTAGAGAGGTAGAGGAGGATCAGAGGAGCTCACAAAGCGGTGTCAGTGGCAGCAGTAGGCAGCAGAAGTTAAAAGCAGCAACAGGGAGGGTGACCCGGGCCTCGGAGAACAGAGAGCGGCAGCCAAAGGCACTGCCGCACCCGAGACAGACAAACAGCAAAGACCACGTCTGAGAACCCACAGGCCCCCGGGAATGTGCAAAGCAGGGTCCTGAAATCGGGAAAGCAGGGTCAGTTAATCAACAGACTCTTACCAAACGTCTACATTGCAAGGGACGAGAGGTGCAAAACTGAATAATTCATGCCCCTGCTCCAAGATCTGACACACGAGCCATTGTATCCTAAGGGCCGTATCTCCTGTATCTGAACTACAGCACTCAGAGTTTCAGTCAGCAGAGCCAATCAACGTACGTTTCGGAAAGCTCTCCAAGAAAAAACACAAAAAGCAGCAGGTCCATATACCTGTTGACCACGTACAACAGGATGGTTCCTTCTCCACAGGCACTGCCTGGCTTTGCGCTTACCCTACCAGCTAAGAAGAAAAGCGTGAGAACTTCTAGGACGGATGATCAAATTGCACACTCTTGTTTAGGAGGCTGGAGGATAGTGGGGTATAGAACCATAGTAAATATAAAGGCAAAGACAAAAATCTAAAACAAACCAAAAAACGCCTATGTTTACGTTGAAAACTTGGTGCCTTCTAAACCAGACTAGCATCCACTATGAGTTGCTGAGGGCAGCATAAGTCCATGCAGTTTTAACCTCGGCCTTCCATTTTTACATTTTTTTTAGTTACACTGCATCTACGTTAGAGTTAGCATCAGGAGACACAGACACACACGCGTAGGATTGTGAGATTCTGCGTAAATCATTCCCACCTGCTTAACATCAAAACTGATGAGGCATTTATTTAACAACATTGGGGGAGTTATAACTGCAAAGATAGAATTCTTGCTTTCGTACATATTATAACCACATGTTAAGACAATAGACTTCCATAAAAAAAAATTACCTTAAAACACATTTTGTATCTAGAAATTCGCTTGATCCCTCAACACTCCAGGTTAGAGAGATTATCAAGCACACGTTCCTTTGCAAAATTTAATTTTCTGTTGAACTCTGCATTGACCCTAAATTTAACAGCATTCCAGATTCAGTCTACTTTGCCCACATCAGATATTGAAGCTAAGCACAAGTCTTTTCTGGAAACCTCATAAATTGTACGAGCTGCTCAATTTAGGCCTGAGGGAGAAAGCTGAAGAGAGTTGCCCTGTGATACTGTTTTAGAGTGTTTGCCACAGAAATTCAGGATTAGCTCTAGATTGATTGAACTAGTTATGGCAGTGACTATATATATATATATAATGGATATATATCTCCATTATCTTGGTGACCTTTTACTAAGTAGTCCCTTTACTTTAGCTTTTGATACCACACTTTATTTAACATATTTAAGGTGAGTTTGGTGTCTGTGTGTGTGTGTAGGCGGAGTACTAAGGAGAAGAAACCGATTGGGTGCCCTGTAGGTACCAGGTGTTTTACTCGGGACTTCTATCTATTTTAAAATTCATTCATCCCACCACTATTTACTGATTGCTTGCTAGGTGCTAGGTGCTCAGGATACAGTCACGAACAAGACAGAGACAGACCCTGCCTGTCTGAAGCTTATGATTCACATGACACCATTTAAACTGTGACTCTGTCTGATAAATACCTGATGTTACTTTACATTGGTTTTGATATCTAATGCCTGACTCGCTTTGTCCAGTTTACTGATGCCTCTGCTTCCTCAGCTGTAAAACGGAGGTCGCCATGGTGAATACCTCCACCTGTCTGTCAGTCAGTGGCGGCTTGTGTGTTGCTGTGATGCTGAAAGCTATGCCACAGGTATTTCAAATACCAACAGGGTCACAGGTTTAGCGGAGTTTCCAGACTGACAGACTAGGAAAAAAGGCCTCACAATCTACTTCCGAAAATTCGTCAATTAAAACTTTATGGATCCCAAGAGAACATTGTACAACTCACTTTCTTTGAACATGTCATCAGAGGGGTCCGTTGCTGGAGGAGAACATCATGGCTGGTGATATAGAGGGCCAGCGAGGGCAAGGGAGAAGCTTGGTGAGCCAGATTGAAATGACAGCTGCAATGACAGACTCGAACACGTCAGTAATCATGAGGATGATGCAGGACCAGGCAGTGTTTCATTCTGTTCTACATAAGATCGCCATGAGTTGGAGTCAACTAGTCAGCTGGAGCCCTGGTGGTGCAGTGGTTCACAGCTCAGCTGCAAACCAAAAGGTCGACAGTTTAAACCCACCAGCCGCTCCTTGGAAACCCTATTGGGCAGTTGTACTCTGTCCTAGAGGGTCACTCTGAGTCTGAACCAACTTGACAGCACCTAACAACAGCAACAGTAGTCAGCTCGCTAGCTATCTGTGTATCTGTCTCTATCTAGAAAAAGTGAGAGCAAAGAACACCTATAAAAGGCCCAGCACATGTCTGCTCACAACTTAGAGTGGTCCACCTGCCTTCCTCACGCTCATATTCAGTGGGGATTTGAGTAGCTGTACTCTCTCTTTTAATAGTTACTGCCACCAGGGGGCAGTAGGGAACAGTGTCCCACCAATCCCAAGGAGAGAAACGGGGCCATTCTCGTAAGGGGGAATCAACTCGATGACACAGAACAGCAAGGACAACTCGTTAGCACATAGCTAAAAACAAATTTTATTTTGTGCTGACTCAAACAAATGAACATTCCTTTAAAGAAACAGTCGTCAAAGCAACAGTAAAAATAATGGTACTTGGTTATTCAACAAATATATGCCGAAGGCCTACAGAAATAAGTGGTGCCTGTCCCACTGGGTGGGGTGAGGATTAAATGCGTTACAACAGTACTAACACACAGCAAGAACTTAGGAATGCTGGGAGTTGTTATCTGGTGGAGGATGTGTTTTCAGAGTGGCCCAGAGAGAGAAAGTGATGGTGTTTATGACTACAGAAATCTCTAAGCGTATTTGACTTCTCATGCCAATCTCTCTCTCCTAGAGGAACTAAAAATTTTCTGATTTATAACTTCTGTCCATTTCCCAAGCACATAGACCAATTGGAATAAAAGGTAATAACATGGAATCTAAATGTGCTATTTCCAGAAATTCTCAAAGGACTCGTTGGGATGATTAACAGGGACATTATGTCATATCAAAGTGTGTCCTATCTCACCGAAAATAACTCTAAAGTGTTCTACTGGTTTTTAAATCAGAAAATGCTCAGTTATAAATAAAAGTGTTAGAATAAACTCTTACCGATCTTACATTTTTTAATTCTGGTTCTTTAACTTGTAGGGTGTGAATTTGAGAGCGTGTCCAGGTTCAGGTAGAAGATGGCTGTAAGAATCTGGAGTGGTAAATAAGGATGGACGTCCATGAAAGTAAAATCCAGATTTGTTGTCCTCCAACATGTATAATGTTGTGTCTGTGATACTGAAGGTGGCAAAGTCATTTACATGATTAAATATAGTAACCAGATTGTTTAAAAGCTTACAAATCTTCCACTTTAATTTTTTTTCTTTTGAATACTGCTGCGGAGATGTTTGCCTGTAACCACTGACTATATTTTTAATGATTACATTCATTGTGGATTATCTGTCAGCATCTGAGGATCACCCTTCAACCTTGGAAAGGATAAGATTTTCTCTAATGGCAACATATCATATTCGGCTACCTTGAGGCAAGAAATATTAAAACTGGATGAAGATAAGGAATTAAAACTGGATGTAGATTATATATATATATATATATGTGTATATATATACATATATACACATATATATATATATCTGAAAACAGAACGGCCCTAGACTCCTTCAAACAAATTGCCACATTAAGAGGGTTGCCAGGCAAAATAAAGGCTGTTGTTGTTGTTGTAGGCACCGTCGAGTCAGTTCCAGCTCATAGCGACCCCATGCACAACAGAACGAAACACTGCCCAGTTCTGTGCCATTCTCACCATCACTGTTATGCTTGAGTCCTTTGTTGCAGCCACTGTGTCAGTCCTTCTCCTTGAGGGTCTTCCTCTTTTTCGCTGACCTCTATTTTACTAAGCATGATGTCCTTCTCCAGGACTGGTCCCTCCTGATAAGATGTTCAAAATACATGAGATGAAATCTCATCGTCCTCGCTTCTAAGGAGTGTGCTAGCCGTACTTCTTCCAAGACAGATTTATTTGTTCTTCTGGCAGTCCGTGGTATATTCAATATTCTTCGCCAACACCATAATTGAAAGGTGTTAATTCTTCTTCAGTCTTCCTTATTCATTGTCCAGCTTTTGCATGCATATGAGGTGATTGAAAATACCGTGGCTTGGGTCTAGTGCACCTTTGTTCTCAAAGTGTACTGGATACCTATGAATATTCAAGGTATAAGTCAAAACATCCCAAACCAGTTGGCTTTGAGTTGATTCCAACTCATGATGACACCTTGTGTTGCAGAGTAGATCTGCTCCATAGAGTTTTCAAGGCTGTGACCTTTTAGAAACCGATCACCAGGCGTTTCCCCCAAGGTGCCTCTGGGTGGGTTCCAACTGCAATCATTCAATTAGTTGTTGAGTACTTCATCATTTGCGCCACCCAAGAACTCTTTATTTAGGGTAGACTTACACTAAAAAATGATTCATTGTTTATCCGAAATTTATATTTAACTGGGTGCCTACATTTTTATTTGCTAAATCTGGCAACCCTGCCGATGAAGCCCTCCACAAACACACAACACAGAGCCGTCCCTCTTTGGAAGATAAATCATGAGAAGGGTTTACCTGAATGGGCAGTTGGTTAGTCAAGTTGCACCCTACGAAACTCGTTAGGGGTCCAGCAAGTCAGCACAGCAGAAAGCCCAGAGAAAGTACATCATCCACTTTGCCATTTCTGGAGGCCAAACAGAGCTGGCTGGAAAGTAACAATTGACAGGTAAACACTGGACCACAGACCATAATGAGCCAACTCAATATCAATGACAAACAAAACTGATGTACTGCAATAAAACATCTCATTCACTCCCACGTGAGGCTCTAGACTGCTGTTTTCTGACTGGTCTTCATGTTTGCAAGCAGGCAAACATCTGTAAGATTATAAAGAAACCAATGGCAATTCTAAAATAATAATGAGCCTGCCTCTTCTCTCTGCTTTTTCTTTTACCGTTTTTATGACAAGTCATAGACATGTTCTAAGTACTGTTTATGTTTTCTTGGCCTCATAATGGGGGAAGATGTTAAGTCAGGTAGTTAGAGAGACTAGACATGCTGTTAAAAATGTAAATAAGACCACAGGTTCAAATTTTCAATCAATGATTAGATCTGAAGTCACTTCTAATCCAATTGTCCGTCTACACTGGTACAAACAGAGAAATGAATGGGAAAATCTATTTGACTCCCTAACCATGCCACCTCTTGTGTGGAATAGTAAAGAGCTTGGGTTCCAGACTCTGAAGGACCTGCAGCCATCATTTACCCACCTGTGGGAAGGAAGACAATTAACCTCTCAGAGCCTAAGTTTCTATATTTATAAAGGAAAATTAAATGATAATGATCCAAGCTAGTGGTAGAATGGGGCATCAACCTAATGTTCCCAACTCCCAGTGCCTGATCTCTCTCTACCACATACACTTCCCAAGAGTTACTGTTCCAGCGCTCACATCTGGAACCATAAACCCACTCACCTCAACGCCAAGGTGTTTTCCTCCATTAAGTGGCAGTGAGTGGCGTGCCTACCTGATTTTCAATATGCCTTTCCTTACACTTCGGATTTCCAATGCATCTGAGGACTGACTGTATTTTGCACCTTTCTACAATGTTGTATAAACAGACCATCTACCTAGGCATGCACAACAATTTACAGGTTCCCTTGAAGCAGCCCTCCCTTGCTGGAGGTATTTTTTATAGTAGGTATGATTGGTATCTGACTAATAAACTGAGCAAGGATGGAGAACTTTGCTCTGCAGAATTACTTGAACCCCTTTGAAAATTATCCCTATGCCATTAGCAGGGAATAATAAAATGCAACATTTGACCCAAGATAATTTAAATAAAATAATAGCATTTTTGCTGTCATCAAAGACTGTATTCAAAACAAATTCAGTGTAATTAAGGGGTGGTTGTTAGGTGCTGTTGAGTTGATTTTGACTCGTGATGACCCCATATGACAGACCTAGAACTGCCCCATAGCATTTTCTTGGCTGTAATCTTTACAGGAGAGTATTGCCAGATCTTTCTTCCGCAGAGCCACTGGGTGGGTTTGAACTGCCAGCCTTTTGGTTTGCATCATCAGAGCTCCTAATTAAGAGGGAGGGTAAAAAAACAAAAACAAACAAACAAAATAGTTGGCATCAAGTCAATTCTGACTCGTGGTGACCCCATGTGTTACAGAAAAGCACTGCCCCATAGGATGTTCAAGGCTTGACCTTTTGGAAGCAAATTGCCAGGGTTTTCTTCCCCAGTGCCTCTGGGTGGGTTCAAACTACCAACCTTTCTGTTAGCAGTTGAGCGTTTAACTGTTTGTGCCACCCAGAGACTCTTAAGGGTAGGGTACATCTGCTTTATTTCTATTTTTTCTTAACTAAATATAAAAGATTTGTAGATCTTTATCAAGAAAAATGTAGGCAGTGCAATGTGTCAACAAATTGCTATAATATTTGGAAATTGTTTTAGAATGATGATTCCCTACCATGTTCAAAATACACGATACAAATAGAATATTTGCTCAATAGCAGATCCTTTCCTCTGCTAAGCCCAATGGAAATTGTTTAAAAATATTACTGACAAGATTATTAAATTATGGCCTTGAGTTTCAAGATTCTTAACTTACGGCAGAGTAGCAAACAGAAAACAGGCAGTGGAAACCAGTCCTATAACCACACTCTAGTATTTCTAGGAACTAAACACACATTCTTCCAGAAGATGCCAAATCCATGATGTTCCATTCATACATGCCTCCCTGTCCTCAACGGAGGAGATGCTGGCAGCAAGTATGTGTGCCTCCAATTCCATTACCAAAGCATGGGAAATCAACATGCTAGTTCTTGAAAAGTACAATTTAACTTCAGCATGAAGCCTTTTCTCTTTAAAGACTGTCTTGATTCAGACGAAATCTTGGCCAAAAATTGCTTCCAAATCTGTAAAAATTAAATATAAAAAGTGAATATTGTTTTTAAACAATTTTTTTCTAACGACCTCAAGTTTTACATTTTTCATCTGAGATAAAACGCTAATTTTTACATGAGCACTTGCAACAGAATGCTTCTCTTTATATGCGGTCTTTCTGGCCTTGGGCTTGTACTTCTGCCAAGGTGATTTGCTAGGCTACAATCTTGCAAAGGGATTGGTTAGTCTACTATGTAAACAGAGTGTGTAAAACCATCCAATAGGATTAAGTGACTTTGTGGGAATTGGTTGATTATCATGCACATTAAATGACTGTGGCCTACCAAGGGGATTGGTCAGTTAGTGGTCCTGGTGGGAGGACCATGCCTTGAAATTGAATATAAGGGCCAATCCCACAGAGGATGACGGGGACCACACTGCCATCAAGAAAAGTCTGGAACAGAACATGTCCTTTGGACCCGGGATCACTGCACTGAGAATCTCCTAGACCCAGGAGAGAGAGCTACAACACAGAAGACAGCGAGAAGTGGTAGCAAGTGCAGCAGAGCCCAGCAGTAGAGAAACGGCAGCAGCAGTACAAGTGGTGGGAACCAGGAAACCGGGTGCAAGGCAGCTGCTATGGGCTTGCTGACCCATGGAGTGAGAGACAGCTGAGTGCCTTCGGGCAGGAGGCTTGCTGGCAGAGTGGAGTGCCTCTGGGTACTTGTTGGTGTTGCTAAGGAGCTGTAACACTTGCCCAAGCAGGGTAGAGGCTGAGAGAAGACCCAGTGGCAGGCACGGCCAAGAGAAGGGTCTACCGGTAGGCACAACCAAAAAGAAGCTGAACTAAGAACTGTATTTCCCAGCTTTCCATTTCATGAGACCATGTAGTTAAGTTTTGGCCAATGAGAGGTGACTGGAAGGGATATATGCAACTTCTAAGCCATACTCTTAAGGAAAATGGCATGCCTTCCACTTGACTTTCTCTTCTTCCTGCTGGACAGCATGGAGAAGTGATGTCAACTACCGGAGAAGCCATCTTAGACCGTAAGTTGAAATCCATGTGTTGAGCAACTAGAAAAATAAGCCAGAGTTGGTGCTAACATATGTAACTGGCTTTTTTTTTTTTTTTTTGCTCAGACTGTGACACGAGCAAAAAAAATAAAGCTTCTATCTTGTTTTAGCAATAATTATGTCTTTGATATCTCAGCTGAACCTTTACTGTAGCTAATGTATCAGTCCCTAGTTTGCTTGTGCTGTTGCTTTCAGCCATATGTCACCCATAGAGCTTTATATTATAGAATGATTCAAAATGACTTGGAGGAACCAATTACTATCCTGTCTTGAATAAATGGAGTGATTAGAAAGGGGATAGCCAGTCACTCTTTGCTAACATCCAATTACAATAAGCAAGAGTAAAATTATCTAGATATAGTTTAATCGTTTTGAGTCTTCCCTTTATGCTTTGTTAGGACAAGAGAAGTTTTTAGTCTGGACTTAAATTTTTCCCACTACTGCCCTAGTGGTGCAGGGGTTAAGAGCTACAGCCACTAACCAAAAGGTCAGCAGTTTGAATCCACCAGCTGCTCCGTGAAAACCCTATGAGGCAGTTCTACTCTGTCCTTTAGGATCACTTTGAGTCAGAATTGACTCAACGGCAACAGTTTTGTTTTTTTTTTTTTTAACTGCAGCAAAACCCTCCTGAGTATTCTACCCTGTGAACAATTCTACCTGTGAATTATTAGGTTTTCAGTCTGTGTGATGGGAATCACACTATTCCTGGCTCTGTTTCAGATCCAAAGACCGTTCCCTCTAATCGTTTTGGATAGTTCTTTCTCTGGTCTTGGGTGGTCTCTTCACATGGATGTACTTATCAACACTTAGCTGATGACTCAAGGGAGACCCTCTTTAGATCTCCAGAGTTATTTCTTTCTGCAGCTCTCTCCTCTCTGATATTCTGCCCTACAAATTCTATATGGCATGGACAGAAGAAATGCTCTAAGAAATAATGATGCTGATTTTTCCAATTTTGATAAAAACAATAAGCCCACACATCTAAGAAACCCCAGGAACCCTTATTACATACATAGGGTAAAGAGGGACATTTCATAATGACAGAGTTAATTCAACAAGAAGACAACAATCCTAAATGTTTAAACATCTAATAACAGGGCTTAAATGGACATGAAGCAAAACTGATAGAACTGCAGGAAATTTTAGAAAAATCCACTATTGCAGTCAGAGATTTCAACAACACTGTCTCAGTAATTGATAGAATATATACATGGAAAATCAATAAGGATATAGAAGACTTGAACACAATTTCAACTTGACCTAATTGACATTTATCGAATGCGTCATCCAACAGCAGAGTATACATTTTTTTCAAGTGCACATGAAACATTTACCAAGATAAATCATATTCTGAGTCTTCAACTAATTTCAATAAATTTAAAAAGACCAAATCATACAAAATATTTTCTCTGACCATAATGGAATTAAATTCAAAATCAATAGCAAAAAGATATCTAGAAAATCTACAAGTATTTTGAAACGAAATAGCATATGTCTAAACAATAGATGGGCCAAAGAATAAATAAAAAGGAAAAATAGAAAATATTCTGAACCAAACAATAACAATATTGAAATTATGCCAAATTTGTGGAATGCAGCTAAAGCATTACTCCTATCCTAAGTACAGAAATGAAATAAAATCATACCCAAAATAGGTAGAAGAAATTAAAAAGGTCAGAGGATAAAACAAAATGCAAAACATAGAGAAAATCAATGGAACTAAAAGCTGCTTC